CATCTTTTTGTTTGCTGCAACGCCATCTTAATGGGAAAACATATACAATTGTGAAAGGAGTTAAAGAGAACATCAATATGATTTTTGCTTTAAAGCCAAGTGATTTCTTTAATCAGGGCATTAACAACCTGACTGTAATATGGAAAAGAATCATCAATAGGAATGAAGACTATTTCATTTAATAAATGTTATGTTTTGATATACAAGTTGTTTGGGTTTTTTCATATTAAAAAAGCAACATTAATTTCTTGACAACCTAATATACTGTTTTACATTGTAATTTAAAAGTACTTTAAAAAAGTGTTGTTGTAACTAGTGACTCATGAAATTTTGGTATTGGAACTAGCTGATCCTCAGTTAAAAAAAGGTTGAGAACCACTGTTCTTAGTCACTGATTGACTAATTAAATCAAGGTCTAATAGTTATCATTTAGAAACAATATTTGATGAAAGTAATTATATTTTCTAACTCATTTTCTTGTATTTTCTTAGTTTGTAATTAACCTTTTGCACATATAAATCAGTATTGGTAGTACACCAGAAAAGAAAACAATGGTAGTCTAACAATCTGTTCTCGATTAATTTGTCTAAGAACTTCTTAAATAAATGTAAGTAATAAGGACTTTTATATCATGACAACAATCTTCCTTTAAATATTTTTGTTTTAAACACAAATAAACATACACACTGAACAACTAAGACCATTTGTATCAAGAGATGATTTTGCGAAGCTCTCAGTAATACAGAGATACAGTTTTATTTAAGACTACTAAAAAAATCTCATATTTCAACAAAAGGCAAGTATTCTGTTGACTTAAGTTAAAAAAATATTTCATTAAATTATGCTAACAATAAAAATATGAATCCCACTTACAACCCAACTCCAAGAAATAAATCCATCCAGTTGTAGCGCCAAAAATATGAACTGTAACACATTCACTGAACAAAACAGCTCCATCTGTAGGTAAAAAAATAAAACAAATGCTGATTAGAAACTTAGAAGATAATGCTGTAAGATGCATGTTACTCAGATTCAATTGAAAAGTTTACTAACTAAAGTCCAAGTTGATTTCATAAAATCAGATCTGTACTTATAGTATTTGTTTATTTCCACGAAAACAATGGTCAAATATTCAAAAGTGCTTGGGTTTTGGGTCTTTTTGAAATTCATTGTTCATTTGTTGAATTTCATTCAAAACTACTCGAGAGCTATCTGCACTAGTCATCCCTAATATGGAAATGATAGACCAGAGAGAGAGAAGGCAACTAGTCAACACCACTAATCACCAACTCTTGGGCTACTCTAACCATCACAGTACAATGCTCCCATGGCTGAAAGAGCAAGCATGTTTGGTAATGGAATTTGATTGTAAGTTAAGCATCATAACCAACAGGGCATTCCATGCCTACTTAGAGTAAGCAGTATGGTTTCTTACAAATAAATTTTTCGTTTTACTTCTGTCTGTCACTCAGTTTAATAGGAGGTAAGTCTTCTTTAGTCTACTTTGTGGTAGGGACATCTTGTACTTCATCATACAAGTCTTTTTGAAACAGGAATCTAAAATTTCAACATGTACATTTTATTTTGCAATAAATAAAACTAAACCTACTTATAATTAGTTGAACACCATAAAAATGATAACATTTTAATTTACATAACATTTCTTGTAAGTTAATTCATAAAAAGATGTTAGCAACCAGAATTAACAGAACAACAAAATCAACAACTTCATAACAAGAAAGGTTATTTTCAGAAAAATGTTTTAAGGAATTAGACAGTTTTGTATAAACATCTGCATTAAAACTTTTTTTTTACAAAGACAAGCTATGAAAATTCAGCTTTGCATAAACAAGTAAAAAAATCTGACCTAAAATACATCATGATTAATTTGTGCTCATTTAATACAAAACTCTTCCGTTATGAACAACTTTTTTAAACTTATATAACATGTTGGTGTCAAAAATTATGTTTCACCTAAAATAAAATAAAAAATATTTAATGGTGGAACATGAAATGATTGAACTTAATAAACATCTAAATTTGATGATGAGGAACCAACTTTATAAAAATTAAAAGTTTGGAGAAAGTTTGACTGGGTAATGAAGAAAACTATTATAAATGTATAACATTTCAACAAGATTATGTCACCTTCAGAAACTTGAGGATGACAATGATGTTGAAATGTATGTTTATAATAAAGTTTTTGTCACTACCCAATCAAGCCATCTCCAAACTTATTTTTTATAAACATCTATTTCTCACAATGTATAATTCACCCATGCCTGTGAACAAATTGTGTACAAACAGTGTGACAGTATATGTTTTTTGTTTTAATTTTTTTTTTTATAAAGAAATTTTATTATTTCATGCTGTTATTCTCATTAAGCAATGTATAGCTGATTAAATAATCATCGTTCACCTTTTATTCATATTGAAAAAATGTTTCATTACTTTTTAACTTACTTCTCAAATAAAGTAGATACAATTACTTTTTACCTACACTGACCGCTCTTATTTAAACCTACCAATAATATACACAACTCTGAAAAATGTTGTGTAAAATATTGATGAATAATTTATAAATATATACATAGTACTTTGAAATGTGACAATAGGTTAGGTTCAACTGAGTCTGAAAACAAGCATTTATGCATGAACTGACATTATACATAAGTACATTTTTAAGCATTAAAACTAACATTTCTTTAGAATGATAAATTCACAAACAAAAAATACTAACGGATTTCAAACTACTGAAATTCTTACAAAATTCAAAACTTCACTACCCTTCAGATGCACCATATAAACACACATACACTAAAGCTAGCCAATTAACTTGATTAATCGATATAATCAGTTACCTGAGAAACATTGATTAGTGTCACATAAAGTAAACAATTAATCTAAATTAAAGTTATCATGTCACAAAAATATTCCACTAATTGAAATCAGTGTGTCTGATTACCATTTGGACTTATTCCAACTATCCAACTAATAAAAAATATTTCCATTATAATTTTCCATTATTGTTCATCAATTCAAGGTTGTTGTTCAGCTTAATTGATTAGTCACAATTCACAAAAATCATCAAATTGAAATTAGTGTTTCCAATTATTCAAACTATGTGAGAGTAAATGAGATAGTTAATAGTAATTGATTAATGAGCCTCACTATCGAATTCTACTAACCACTCATCTCTATCTAATATACACACATAAAACATGTTCTTCACACCCTACTAACAAAGATTTGTGCGGTTACATTAAAGGTAAAATCATCTCTTTGTAAGTTTAACCAGGAATAAGTTTTCTAGTCTAAATTTGATCTTAAAAAAGAAAATGTTTCTACTCCTCCTCTTTCTACAAATTATAAAAACCCACCTCAAACGATCGGTCATGCTTGACAGCCCAGATGCACACCCCTATTGACACTACAGATATGAAGATGAGGGGTATAAAGATCAAAGTCCACAAGTGTCTGTGGTTTTCAAGATTGTCACAAACAAGAAGTTCAAACATGAGGAGAAGGAGCTGAAGAGCAAGACTGATCAACATAGCTTTATAATGAACATAACCTTCTCCTTCCAATCTAGAGAGATAGAAAAAACAAAGATAAATTAACAGTCATACTTCACCAAGTAGAAAGCATGAACTAATCCCTAACATACAAGTTGATAAAAATTACTTAAAAAACAACAACATGATATGAGTACATGTTACAAGCTGATTTTTCTCAAACATATTTCCATTGTCTAAATTGGTGGACAGATACACACACACACTTAAAGGGTTTATGTATATTCAGCTTAGAGCAGTTGTTTTGTCATATTTTTGAAGGTGTATGGGTTACCATTCTAGACCAATTCCAACCTCAGTCGTGTTCTTCTTCCTTTGTATGTTTTATGGTATAAGAAGTAATTGTACAAGATACAGTTAAAACAGGTTAGCAAACTGCTCCATTCAGAACTGGTTAGAGTTGGGGTTATTTTAGATGGAAATTCCTTAAATATATATTTCAAAATAATGCTTGCAGGTACAACAAGAGTTACAAGAAAGAACATAAGAATAAATAAGCTATTTGTCTTCTTCCCTGTAAACCAATTTCAGCAAAAAAACATTGGTCTTTCTTAGCAACTTAATCAGTGTTAATGAGAGATGATTAAATGAAGAGTATAAAAATGCAAGTCTTAAAAAGTTTTAATACTTTCTGTAGAGATTCAAAGAAAAAAGAAACTAGGGATAATAACTATCTATTTTATTTTGTTTCAAATGGGCCGTTTAGAGAGAAATATGATGTACCTCAGTAGTTCCATGGAAGCATTTGGGTTGATATTCCACTGGATGCAGAACAGAAGAAGCTTAGCATTTGCGTAAGTGGCAAAGACATCGATGTGAGCAGTACCCAAATGAAAGCAAAGCCATTGAAAAACACGATGATTGAGAAACTACTCTGGAAAAAAAGAGATCCCAAGAGAGGTTCCAATGATTGTGTAAAATCAATAGTAAAAGATGCATGTTAGCATAACCCAAGGGGATAAGGGGTTCCAAAAAAGCCCGAGTCCCCAACAGATAAAGAAACTCTCATGAAGAAAGACAAAGAGAGAGCTCTGAAAGTCAAACCCTCCATAGCAAACCAATGCAGCATAGAAGGCTGTGTCCTGCTTAGAGAGGAAGTGAAGAACATATCTAAATGAACCACATACAGGATGGGTGAAAGAAGAGATTTCTCTAGCTTGTTCCTCGAGGCATATCACCAATAATCTTTCACTTAAGTCTTGAATCTTGCTAAGCAATTCATTCCCGTATCCGTCCAAAGAAGCCCTCTCGAAAAAGCCATGTATA